ATTTAACAGCAAGTAGTAATTTCTCGATAAAGCCATTTCTATCAACACTATTAATATGTATTACTATAAACCCTGTTCTCAGAGTTCACTTCATTACGAAGGGAATATTTGATGATTCAAGTTGTGAATAATGAAACAAAGAATTTGACACATATTCAGTTGGGCAGATGCATTCGCCCTTCACCCATAGGAATCCAGAGCCAAATCTAGTAGCAATCAGGAACAAAAGAAATTGGAAGTCTTGAGTCCTCTTTCCACTAAATATGTCATCCACATGACAAAAGCACAGACAGGTATAAGAGTTTCAGCTAATGAACACAAGCTAAAAAAATGAAATAAAAAAAATGAAATGAAATGAAATGAAATGAAATGAAATGAAATGAGCCACTATTGCATATCTGGACCTTAGAGGGAAGGGAAGAATAGGGAATTCTCTTAATGAAGTGAACATCAATAGAATGAAGGATAGCACAGCAAATTTTGCCTGGTCTTCTAACAAAAAGGAGCCCAATTTGAGCTTCAGACAGGGTAGGCAAACCAAGGGAAAAGATTCCAACAGTTTCTAATACAAGTAGTTCCGGCATCTGAGTAATGTTATGCCCTTAAAAAAAAAAGTTAGGGGCGCCTGGGTGGCTCAGTAGGTTACGCGTCCGACTTCGGCTCAGGTCATGATCTCACGGTCTGTGAGTTCGAGCCCCGCATCAGGCTCTGTGCTGACAGCTCAGAGCCTGGAGCCTGCTTCAGATTCTGTGTCTCCCTCTCTCTCTGACCCTCCCCCGTTCATGCTCTGTCTCTCTCTGTCTCAAAAATAAATAAACATTAAAAAAAAAAAGTTAGCCTATTCCAGAAACCACGTTAGTGTTCAAGATCCACTATGGGCTTTAAATCTATGGTAGAACAGTGTTTCTCAAACTAGGTAGACTGACCCATTTGGGAAGATTTGCATATCTTCAACCAGAATATATTATTGAGAATTTATTAATTTATGGTTTTCCTTTCACTAATAACTAACATAAGCATATTCTTTTTATTTTTACTGATGCCCCATTGGTTTTATTGTATTTTTCCCATTTTTTTCCCTCATTGCTAAAATAAACATATTCAGAATCATCTGGGTGACCACCTGATACCCAAATGCTGCCTCACAGACCCAGTTTGTCTTTGTGTTTGCAATCAGATTTGTGCCAAGTAGTCCCATTTTAATTGTCTCCAGCTAATTAGCAATGAACAGAGGTAGACTTCAGAGTAAATGAGGCTTCTGCACCAAGTGTGGGCCAGATGACTTCACAGTGTGCTGGAGGAACAAAGGTGTTTCAGTGCTTCAGAAAGGGAAGAGCCGTGAGGGAGTTGCATCATCTCGTGGCGCCAGGTGGGAAGGCAGACCAAGCCCGATGGAACCTGAGCCATAGTTGCTAACAATGTGTTTCACATGAAATTATTGGTGTTTATTTAACGTTTGTTGCTTTTGCAGAGGTGAGGGATGTATGTAATTTGTACATTTGTTTTGATGAGACCTACAAGCTATAAGAGTTAAAAGCATAAAAGGTTTATGCCTAGTTTTGATTTGTGAACCTTTAAGGAGCATTTGAATTTAAAGGATTTAAATCAGCAATGAGTAATACAGGAATTTTTGAGGAGTATATAAAATATGAACAGTTTTAAGCGTATGAAAGGACATTTGTCATCACTCATAATAAGAGATAAGAAAACTAAAACCATAATGAGATACCCTTTGCACCTTATAGAAAATTCCAAACCTCTTCAATATACACTTCCTATCACCTGCTCTGCTTGTATTTCTCCAGAGCACTTGTCACTGTCTAACGTACTTGAATTTTGTTTATTATCATGTTTACTGCCTTTTTCCCCACTATACCCCCAGAAAGTAAGCTTCATGGAAACTTCATGGAATTTTGACTGTCTTATTCACTATAGCATCTTCAGCTACCTAGAATGTTAATGTGGCACATAGGGAGCCCTGGATTATTTGCTGAAGAATGAATTAATGAAGACCTATGAGCCAGTAATTCCCCTTCTAGGCACATACCCTAGAGGAACTCTCCTACTTTGTGCACAGGAACATTCAGGGCAGTATCATTTGCCATAGAAGGAAAATTGGAAAAATCCTAAATGTCCTTCAGTAAAGGAATGAAGTATATTGTGGTGTAATTACAAAAAAAGAATTTAACAATTAACAGGAATTAAAATGATTGACATGGATAAGAGGCTCATGGATTGAGCTGTGTGGCTCAGTCAGTTAAGTGTGTGACTTTTAATTTCTGCTCAGGTCATGATCTCATGGTTTGTGAGACAGAGCCCCACATCAGGCTCTGTGTTGACAGTGTGGAGCCTGCTTGGGATTCTCTGTCTCCCTCTCTCTCCACCTCTCTCTCTCAAAAATAAATAAACATTAAAAAAATGATTTACATGGATAAAAATCAAAAACTGTGCTAGAAGAAAAAAACAAATTGCATAGATACATGCAGTAATGTATCAATGCCCAGACAGGAAATTTCACTGCAGAGTAAAGATAACCTCAGGACAGGGAGGAGATGGGACAAATGGGAAGGCTAAATAGAGGGCTTTGATTATATATGTAACCATTATTACTTTAAAGTTTTTTACCTAAAGAAAACATAGCAGATATTAATACTTGTTAATTTTGGGTAGTGGGTACATGGGTACATGTTACATTAGTCTCTATATTTTTCTAGTGCTTAAAATGTTTCATAATCTTTTTATTTGTTTTTAATATTTATTTATCTTTGAGAGAGAGAAAGAGACAGAGCATGAGCAGGGGAGGGGCAGAGAGAGGGAGACACGGAATCTGAAGTAGGCTCCAGGCTCTAAGCTGTCAGCACAGAGCCCGACACAGGGCTCAAACTCACAAACCGTGAGATCATGACCTGAGCTGAACTCGGACGCTTAACTGACTGAGCCACCCAGGCACCCCAAAATGTTCCATAATTTTTAAAAAGCATCTTAATACAAGTACAAAGACTATTAGTTTTTTTCCTGCATTAAAAGTAATTAGAGCCCCCCTCACTATGATACTGATGATGAAGATGATGACTCTTTTCCCTCTTCCACTCCTTCTTTTTCTTCTATTATAATTAATAGCTGCTATTTTGTTTCTCTTTATATCATGATCCTTTCCCAAAATTACTTCATATGGCTTACAACAAAAGATATGAATAACAACCTAGCAAGGTTAAAAAAAGTGATATGTAAATAAGCTAGCTATTAAAGTAAACATTAATGCTATTAAGCCTCACATTTTGCTCCAAGCTTCTTGGAAACTGAAATGACAAGCAAGCATACCAATCAATTATATAGGCCTCATTGTTAAAAAGGGTACCTTGGGGAAGACAAAGATTTTCCTGGGATTAAATTCTCAAAGAAATTTCTCATGTCTGATTTTACATTAGGGACACTAACATAGACAATGTCCTCAAGAGCATTTTAACTAAAATCAAAAGTTGATTCCATATGCCTTTTCTTGCAATTCCTTAAAAAAAAAAAAGCTGAGGACATAATGTATTAGTATAGTTCAGGGAAGGGCATTCATTCTTTAGAAACTAAAGTAACATATGCCTTTAGTCATCTAGCTAAATCCAAAGATAAAACACCCAAGTGGGCAGGCAGGGAGCCTGTCTCTTAGATAATTGTTCCTAAATATAATTTCCCTTAGACAAGCTATTGATAGATGGAAACCAAACATCCATCAATTAAAGATTATAGTCACAGACCTTGACCTGCAGCTAAGTTATTGAGCAAGTATCACTTGCCTCCTTTTAGAAATAACTTGAAAAAGAAAATTGTAAAATAAAGAACTGATTCATCATAGGCCCCAACTGACAAGATTCTATTTTTTTCTTTTAGATTTGTCTATTCTTTGAGTCTAAAAGAAATGCTCTTAAGAGTCCTAAGTCCAGATTTGACGTACCGATGGTTATGCATGCCAGGGGATGCTGTGGTTTACTGGTAGCATTTTTTTATATCTTTTTAAGGCCTGTAGTATAGAGATACATTGCAGGGATTTAGGTTTGGGTTAGTCCCAAGAAAAAAAACTATAATTGAAGTTTTTGCTACCACCAGCAAAATAAGGAAAGACACCTAATATCCAACAACATTGAACTGCAGGTAGAAAATCAACTAAAGCTATAAAGAGCTTGTACTACTAATAATAATCATTCCATTCACATCATCTTTTTTCACCCTTTTATGCATGGTCTCATTGAATCTTCACAAAACCCCATGAGATGGTTAATAGTAAAAAATTTAATAGTAATAAGCTTAGGATAGCTTGGTGACATGACCCAAATTACAGAGCTAGTCAACAGCAGGATCAGGACGCAAACTCAAGACCCAGCTTCCTTGCTGTAGTTCTAATATGGCCATGCACTCTTTGGTAAGAGGACCAAGGTGCAGGACTACTACCAAGTGGTCTGTTTTCCAGGACAAGGCTTTGCTGTCTTCAGTCTGTCCGTCATGTGACTGTGAGGATCATACACAGACATATCTCTCTAAATCTTCCCCACACCAGCCCTCACTAATAGAATAATAAAGCTTTCCTCAGAATCATATCATCTCTTAAAGATAGAAACCTACTACAAAGAGGGAGTTTTTGTTGGGAAGATTTTTTAAGGTTAGTTTTAAGGAATTGAAATTGTAATTAATAAAATCACAAACATGAGCATATGCACATCTAAAAGTTGATAGGCGATCACATCCTGAGTGGTGTGTGAAAGAAATGGTCCCCTTTCAGAAATGAGATTCATAGTTTTAGTGGGTTCACAAGCAGGTTCATAAACTTTTCAAATAAAAATTATACTTTCCTTTTGAGTTTGTTTCTCCTACATTTGGAGCTCAGTGTTATGGGATAAAATTAATTTCTTCAAATATGGAATTTAGTTTTATGCTTACTTAGTAATTGAGGGTAATCTAAAAATCATAGAGCTTTCCAGACCTTGAGCTGATCATATTTTCAACCTCTCTAGTCTACAGCTACTCTCCACAAGAGGAAGGAGCCAGATGAATGGCTGCCCTTACAATGCGGGAAGGTCCCAGGACACACTGTACAATGTAAGCAAGACATTCTTTTCCACAAGTGTCAAGATCACTTACCTTCAAATACTAGGTCAGTGCAGCTATGAGACTGGGGGAACCTGCAGCCCAGAAATAAGTAGCTTGCCTAATTTTGAACCAGTGTTGACCTCCATTTATCCAAATGCATATTTTGTGTACCTCCCCCCCAAAATTCACTTGGTTTTCTTTCAGTCACTCAAGCTAACAGGTATCATACCTGATTGAGACCAGATTTCCATTGTATCTAAACCTCTCCTGGGTAAAGAAGTGTCTGTTTTAAATCAGTGACCATAAATGTGACTCCTGAAGGTACTATCATTCTAAAAAGAAAGTCCTGGTATTAGCAAAATATATATTCCCATAGAGATTAAAGCAACTATCCCACTGCAATCAGTTATATGGAGGCCTTAGTTATAAAAAAAGAAAGGAGATTGAATCACTGAAGTAGGAACCAGGTACCACACTGTACACTTAGTAGGGGCTTATCCAGAAGTGTCTGTGAGAATGATATGACTGGTAAGGTGTGAAAAACTCAGGCACAACAAACAGGAAGAAGAAATCTCAGCTGGAAGAGCACACTTATCTGTCCACATCTCATAGCCTGAGGCTGATATCACAAGGACTCATAAAGAAACACCACCTTTCTCAGTGATGATTTATATTTTCCAGAGCAGGGGAACCAGTGCTAAGATCAGCAAAACCACTTGCCTACACAACCATAACAGACATCTAATTTAGTGCTAACAATGTTGCTTAATGACAACCAAAAGCTATTATTTGTCAAGTGTAAAATTAAGAGAGAGTGCATCATTTTAATTAATGCATTGTTTTTATCATGGGCCTGCTAAAAGTGCTTTAGTGTAGCATATGTGTAAAAAAATCAAGAAGTTAGGGAAAGGAGTAATTCCTACATGGCAAAGAATCACAGTAAGTGTTCAAGGAATATGATCACCTGTCATTAGCCCACAGCTCCAATAAGAAAAGGACCCTGTAAACATCATCACTTGCCCCATTTGGAGGAACATGACTAAATCTTACTGGAGTTTACACTTTTCTCCTTAGGACAAACAAGTTAGTTTCAGGGCCTTAGAGTAGACATAAGACGGCAGATGTCACTTAGTACAACCCCCACTCAAGAACAGCAACCCTAACATATTCAGTCATTCATTCAACAAATGTTTTGAGTACCTAGTATACACCAACCACTATGCTAGGCTCTAGTATAAGCAAGATAAGCAGGGACCCCAATTTCATGAAGGTAACAGTCTAATAAATAGTTGAGACAAAGTACAAGTAAACACATGAATAATTACAGATTTTGACACAGTCTATGAAGGAAATCAACAGATGCTGGGATAGAGGGCACAGGGCAGCAGGAACCCAAACACAGACAGGGTGGTCAGGCAAGTCCTTTCTGGAAAGGTGACACTTAAGCTGACGACTGAAAAAGAAGAAATTTGCCAAGCAAGATGCTGAGGAAACACCATTCCAGTTAAGGAAATGACCAGTGCAAGAATCTGTGAGGGTTAAGTATCTGGAGAACAGTGAGGAAAAGGAAGAAGGTACCATTAAAGATGTGGGCAGAGGTCAGATAACACATTGCTGGTGACCATGATAAAGGGGTTGAATTTTAATTTTAAATGTAACAGGAAGACTTTCAGAGAGTAGTGCAGGATGTGATTTATACTGAAAAGGGTGCTCCGCCATATGCCAACTCCCATGGCATAGGAATGACCCTGTGCAAACTGGCAAGCTGTGTACCAAGCTTTAGAACTCTCTAGACTCCTTGTGGCCCATGTGATTACCATATCTTTTTAAAAGCAAGTATATAAGCCTAAGAGTTTATCCTGTAATAACAGTAGTTATAGGAGTAGTAGCAGCAGCAGCAGCTAATATTTGTTACATGCTTCTATATGGCAAGCATCATTTTAATGATTTTATTTACATGTATTAATTTATCTAATCCTCACAATAATCCAAGCATGTGGATTCAGTTTTTATCCCTATTTTACAGAAGAGGAAACAAGCAATTTGTGCAACCAGTAAATGATTTCCATTTCAATGGTTTCAGCTCTTCTCTTTATTATTTCCTTCTTTTCTTCCTACTTTCTTTGGGTTTCATATGCTTTTTTTCCTGGATTTCAGAGGTGAATGCTTACAAAGTAGATTGTCAACCTTTCCATTTTCCTAAAGTATGCATTAAAACTGTCAGTTTTCCTCTAAGCACTGCTTTAGCTGCATCATACAGGTTTTGTTATAATTTAGCTCAAAATGTTTTCTTGTATCCATTGCAATTTCATCTTTGATCCAAGACTTATTTGGAAGTGTGCTGCTTAATGTCCAAACAGTTGAGGATTTTCTAGTTATTTTTTCTATTATTGAATTCTATTTTAATTCCACTGTGGTGAATGAATATCCTGTAGGATCATTTGAAATTTGATGAGACTTGTTTAATGTCCCAGAATATAGTCTACTTTTGTATATGCTCCGTGGACATTTGAAAAGAATGAGTATTCCACAGTTGTTATAGACAGTTTAATGGTGTTGTTCATATCTTCTATATTCTTCTTAGTTTTTTTGTGAATGTGCAATTAGTAACTGCAAGAGGGTATTAATATCTATTTGTCTTTAATCTTAACAAATTTTGCTTTCTGTATTTTGACATTATATTATACACAGTTGTTTTCTTCCTGTTGAATTGGCCCTTTCAGCATTAATAATTCTCCTTTTTTTTTCAGTAGTATTTCTTGCCTTAAAGTCTACTTTGGTATTATAGCCATACTAGCTTGCTTTTGGTTAATGTTTACATGGTAAATATTTTCCATCATTTTACTTTCAACCTAACTATGGCCTTTTTAATGAATGCCACCTATAAAATAGGACATAGTTGGGTAATCTGACAATATTTGCCTTTTAGTTGGAGTGTTCAGTCCACTTACATTTACTATAATTACTGATATAAATACTTATATACTTGATATTTTTCCCTTATCTGTCCCATCTATTTTTTGTTGTGCTTTATTGTGCCTTTTCTGCCTTCTTTTGGATTAATCATATATTTTGTTTTATTCCATATTTAGCTCCTCTACTGGTTTTACCTATGATTCGTTAGGTGGTTGCCCTAGAGATTGCAATATCTCTTCCTCTTCCTCCATAATAGCTGGTGGCTGAGACAGGGCACAGCCCTGCATTGTTTCATATTTCTGGTGCATTTCACGACTAGTGTTTAAGACTTCAGTTTGTCATGTGTTTTCATCATATATGGCAATTAAATGTATGGATTTTTTGTCTCTGGATCTCATTTCAGGCAACTCCATTTACTGTAGATTTTGATAAATTTTAAGAAAATCCTTTCTGTCTTCTTCACACAAGATATTGCAGACATTTGTGTTAACCAGGTCCTCTTGCTTATATTGCAAGTATTGTGTGACATTTTCTGACTCAAATACAATATTTCCATCACTATTCACCACAAACAGGAAACTATCCAATGCCTGTAATGAAAGTGGTCCTAAGGAGCCTTTAAAGGCTATCCTTTAAAGATACATCAGCTTTCTAAACATCATCTTCATAATTCATAATTCTTGAATTATTATGCATTTAATTCATACCTTTATAATTTCCTTAATAATGCACCGAACTTATAACCCTTTTCCTCTCCTGCCCCTGTGCTACTCTTGCCATGTATTTTACTTCTATATATTAAAACCCAAGAGACATTTTTATTATTGTTACTTTAATAAGTTAGCATTCTTTACATTTACTCATTCCGGTGATCTTCATACCTCCCTATAATTTTGTGCCTTATCATTGATTATTTTCCTTCTTGTGTTTCTTATTATACAGATACAAATTACATATTATCTGTTTTTCTCTTTGAAAAGTCCATTTCACTACTGGTCTCCAGTATAGGAAAATTTCATTGGTATTGTGGGTTTGGGTCAGACTGTGGACAATCGTGAATGTAGGCTGAAAGATATGTATTAATTGAATAGGTAATGAGGAGCCACTAAATTAAGTCATGCAGTGAGCTTTGTATCAATGTGCTAGACCATTTAAACAGAAAAGAAACCAGAAGTAGGGACACCGATTAGAAAACTATTGAAAGATACAGGAAGAACTCAAACTTGGTGGGGAGGTCACGACAGGAATAGAAAAAGGGAGCAAATTAAAAGATGTTGATGAAGAAGAATAGATGTGATTTAAGAACTATTCAGATATGGAAAAGAGAAAATGGCCAGTGAAAAATGGCTTCCAGACTTCAAGACCAGTAATGAATTTAACTGTGCTACTATTAGTACAATTGGAAAGTCGATAGGAAAAGCTGTACTTGGCAAGGAGGATGAAATATTGTGTGTCATGTTTCAGGAGCTTACATATTCAGGTAGAAATACCCAGAAGACAACTGGAAGTTTCAGAAAGATCGAAGATAAAAATACAGGTGTAAGAGACATTCACTATAAAAATGGAAGGGAATGGAAAAGAGTGTAGAGAGAGATTGTATTCCTCTCTTCTTATTCCACTTGCCTCTCCACCCCACCAGTTCTTCCACAGACTCTCCCCCCAGTACACCAGCCCATAGTCCTTACCTGCTATGCCAGACAGGAGCAGGCTTGAGAAGGGATGTTTGCAAAGACAACAGTTAAGTCTGTGACTTCAAGAAGAAAGTGAAGAAAGAGAATAAGGGATAGAAGGGCAACCCAAGTACTAACAGAGGAAAGAGCATATTCTGTGTCCCTAGGACCATGCAACTGAGGTGGTCATATCTAGGTTAAAATATATATATAATGCAATGTTCATAATTTAAGAAAGAGACTATCCATATATTTCAAATAATTTTATCTAATTATACATGAGTCTTAGGAGTGAAAGTTGTTTTATGATTCATACTTTTATCTCTGAAGTCTTCTACAATCAAAATGCATTACATTTTCAATTAGAAAAATATACACTTTTTTTTTGCTCACTTCCCTTCCCACTCTGAACCACCCTTTCAAAAAAATTTTTTTTCACTATATTAAACAGAACGGTCTGGTGTATGTCATTGTCTGAAAACCAGGGTACCCAGCAGGGAATTCAGCAATGAGAATAACAGTTATGCTTAACACAGTCCAGAAACAGAATGATCAGAAAAGTGGATAAAACATTTCAGGACTAGGAATAACTTGAATGCTGTTAAGCAATAAAATAATATTTTAGTTAATTATCTTAACTTTTCCTATCTCTGAAGAATAGCTTCATGTATAATGTTAACACCATAGCACAAGAAAGAATCTCTAGAGATGATCTGCTTTTAAGCAACTGAATAAGTCATCTAGGAACAAAAGTGGTTTAAAGCTCTTAAACATCTCCACAACCTCCTTTGACAACCCATTCAAATGTTCTGAGGTTATGATAGTGAGGAATTTCATATTTTATGTTTGATTATAAAATAGATTCTATAGGGTTAGAGAGAGGAATGACACTTGAAACTAAGTCTGAAATTCCATTTAAATCCCAATGGTTGTCTTGCTGAGAAGGCAAAACCATATCCAAACAGTAACATGTACTTCTAAACTCTGAGAAAGCTTGATTTAGAAGCATGGTAGAAATTCCTTCTTCCAAGATTCTACCTGAACAACACCCAGAGATGTCCAAATTCTCAAAAAGAAGTAAAATGTAACAATGAACAGCCCTTTGGGGGTATCCAATTAATGCTAACTATCCAGTTATTGGAGAGGAAGTCATTTGCTTTTTGCAACAAATCCAAAGTTGTTCTCCTATGAATAGACCTACTTCCAAAGGGTAAATATACATCATCAAGTGAAATGCACAAGCTGCCTATCCATTTCTTTCTGTTGTGAAACAAAATTATAAATCATAAGGATGTAAAGAATTTGATAACCAAATCCCCATTCCCATTGAGTAAAGGCAAACAACTAATCCTTACCATGTGAGCAGATATATGAACCATCACTTGAAAACTTAAAAATAGAATTTGCAAAAACCCACATCCAAGTGGCATACTGCATAATGGGTATGCTTGCTCTTCCTTGGGAACTAAAGGTTGAGTTCTGTTGCTGACAAAGCTGAACAGTGACCCAGAATTAAATAATGTAGCCATATTTCCACATCATTTATAATTTCAGGCTGGAAATTTTACCTCTCTTTGTAAGTTCCACTTAACTGGCTGTATCATAATAGTTGAATAAGAGCAAAACCATTTGACTGTTACTCTTTCATTATTAATTAAATATTAAGATTACTTATGATACATCATTTTGTGTTCTCCAACAGTCCTGATGAAATCACCATTGCTTTTATGTAAGATATTAAGTAGATGACTGGTCCTTGGAAAACTTTCTAAGTAACTGACATGTGATTCTCTGGAGATTTGCCCTCTAAAAATCTGATAATGAATCATGTCCATACAAGCACTTGCCTTATTTTTTAAGGGGCATTAACTAAATGTTTATCAATACTAACAATCCTTTTTTTCTCCTTTCTTAATATTGCCACTGATTGCAGATGGGGAATGTCAGGGGTTCCATAATGGTTTACAGAGTATACATTAACACATGAAATTAAAACAGTTGTGATTTCATTAACTTAGGTAACCATCTGGGAAATGGCAGGAAGATCTTCAGCTGGTAGAATTGGTGGTTGATCCCATTTGTATTTTCATAGTAAGCATCTAGATCTTTCATATTTTTTACATTAGCAAGTCAGAGGGTATAGAGGTACTCTTCCAAGTGTCTCCACATATCAATTTCATTCCCATAGTCTTCAAAGGGCCGGTTCTAAGGCTTTCTCTCCGAACTGTTGAGAGATTGGCTTATTTTCAATCCAAGAATGCACAATGATAGGAGTTACATGAAACCTCCTTATCTAACATTCCTAATAATATACCACAAACTAGTTAGCTAAGATTTGACTTGTTCCCCTGACAAATCAACACAGCTAAAGCTCAAGTCACCAAAACAGTACCAGGCATTCGATTCAGAGCAGGACTCAACACTCCCAGGTGTAATGTATGACCAGACCACTCTACCATATTTAATACAGTCACGATTAACCTCATTTGTGGCTGCCAATCTGGAAGTGGCAGGCAGGAGCCTGTGAAGGATCTTAAGTGAACTCTCAGCCACATTCCCCATAAGTCTGCTCTTATTTAGATAGCGGTGCAGATGGACATATCACAAAATGTGCTCATGATATGAAAATGTGCCAAAAGGAACAAGCAAGTCCTAACTTTGGTTTAGAGTCAAAGGTAGGAATGTGGATATGATCCAGAGCAATGCAGCACTGAGCACATGGAGAGACATTTAATGATTCATCTAAAAAGCTGGCTTTCAGGAGGGCTCTAAGGGTACTGGCCTCTGGCACGCTTGAACAGGTTTCTTTTTCCCCTAGCACTGCAGGTACTGAGACAAAAAGCATATAGCAAGTAGTGGGGCTAGTAAGAAAAGAGGATAATTGTGCCGTTATTTGGGCACTACCTTATTCTGTTCCCCTGAGGTTAGAGAAACAGTTTCCTTGAACTATATAATCTCATCTCTTTATCCTATATCAAGGATAAGATATTGCATTCTTTTGGAGTCAAGTAAAGTTCCTTTCAACAAATCTTCATGTTGGAACTTTCTAAAGCTCCGGCCCAGGGTTTCAATCTAAAATTGAGTAAATTTCCTTTGTATGAGAATGCTTTTTAATAAATTACCTCCCAATAAAACTATTTGAATTTTTTTCTAAACATCTTATCACCAATGGAAACAAGAGATGGCTTGAGAGCTTCCCCACCAAAAATGTCAAATAACCCCTTCCAAGCCACCTCAAATAAACATATAACCCTAAATAAAGCCACTAGATGGTTATTCATATATTACAAGAAAATTCCCCTGTTCTCCTTTCCTAACAGCCACTCCAAGCCTGTCCTATAGGGAAATTCTGGAACTAAAATGCCCCCCCCCTTTTTAAAATTTGTTTGTTTATTTATTTATTTAGAGGAGTGGGGGAGGGGCAGAGATCAAGGGAGAGAGAGAATCCCAAGCAGGCGCCCACTGTCAGTGCAGGGGCTGATGCACAGCTTGAACTCAGGAACCGTGAGATCATGACCTGAGCTGAAATCAAAAGCCAGATGCTCAACCAACTGAGCCACCCAGTCCCCTTTCTTTTTCTTCTTTCTCTTCTCTCTTCATCTCTGTATTTCTTAAAATACTCATTCCAAATTGAAAACTGTAACAATTTTCCTTCAAAGTCTCTGCTGTCAATAGATAGGAATTAGGCATTAGAAGAGAAAGAAAAATTTAATTAACTTGTTTGGTGGCCACATCCCTTAACATCTTCTTTTATTCCTCTTTTATTCTTAGGATGTGATACAGTATGATATAATACAAAGGTGTGATACAATTTTTCCATTTCTATTACAATAAAATGTCACATAGTGACTCTAAAGAGTAGATAGAATGAAGATCTGATTTAGCTGAAAAGAAAGTTGAGATCATGTGAAATCAAAAAGGAAGAAAATGGGGAAAATAAATCCAGTTTTTTCCCCAAAATCAGCTTTATGACTTAATGAAACTCATATATAGGTACACATTGTATGTTTGAAAGTCCCCATAATAAATGTGACAACTCTGAAAGTACTGGCCTTCTAAGACTTGAGCCTAGAGAAGTGGACAAAGCAACTAACTTGAGCCAATAGGTACAATGAACTAGAGGAATCCATAATAGTCTATCTGTCATCTTGGTTTCAGATGTCAATGGACCCACTGAACACAATGAAGATCCACTGAAAGGAAATGAGAACCTAGTAGAGTTCTCAAGGTAAGTCAGTCTCCTGGGTGAAAAGTACCTGCTCCTTCTTTGGTCTCTTTCTCCAAGCCTCCAGCATTTGAATCTAAATGACCATTCACAAGACCAAAAAGGCTTTCATCACAGGAAAGAAACAAGGTGCCATCTGTCACAGGAGCCATAAGGCATTAGAATCACCTCATTTAGGTGAATATTTAAAATGGACCTGAACAAAAGGGTATTCTAAGTCACCCAAATCCAAGAAATAGCAATAACTGAAACAATCAGGTCTGGACTTCTAAACACAGGGTACCCAAACCTTCTTTTTATCTGTAAACTCTGGTACTTTTGTTGAAGATTAAATTCACTTGAAATTTCTGTGTCTCAGTTCAGGCTGCTGTAGCAAAATACCATAGAGTAGGTGGCTTAAACAGTACATACTTATTTCTTACATTTCTAAAAGCTGGGAATTCCAAGATCAAGGCGCTAGCAGATTTGATATCTGGTGAGTCCTCTTTCCCTGGTTTGCAGATGGCTGCCTTCTTGCTGAATTCTCACATGGTGGAGATTGGTCATTTCTCTCCTGTCTCTTCTTAGGAAGACTATTCATGAGATCTCCACCCGAGTTACCTACTGTAGCCCCACCTCCAAATACCATCATATTGAGGACTGGGGCTTGAACATTTGAATCTGGTGCTATTCAGTCCATAGCAGTGTGTCACTAATTAAAGGATTTCCCATACTTAGTTGTCAAGAGAGAAGGGCTTTAGAAAGGTCTCCAGTGGTCAGAATTGGTCTTTCAGGATTGGAAAATCAGTTCCCTGCAAGAGAAAACCTAAATCCTACTTCTGAAGCCCAGGGTTTAGATTATACCCTTCTCCTTGGTTCCTTCCCAAGAGATCTCATCTCACTTATTCTAATGAGCTAATGCTCTTGGTTTGGCCTCCTTCTTCATTTTTTTTAATCCAATGACCATTCACAAAACCAACAAAATCATAGGCAATTTACCCACATTGGACACAATGTCTTATCAAACATGAGTCTTTTCTCTCCAGAACAAAGCAGAAAACCGAGATCTCAATGTTTTCAATCTTTTGTTCCCATGCAGTCAGTGAATTCTCAAGGAGAAGTAGTCCAGTGGTCAGAGTTTCAAGCCACCAGCCAGACATAATGTTCATCAGAAACACCACCTATATTCCCTGGCAGACTAAAAAATTTAAACTACTAAGACAATAGTTCACAAATAAATAATTTTCTAAAAAACTCTAGAAGATGCAAAGTATAAGCAAGCTTGAGCACATTTTCCTTTAACCCTTTACCAGAAATAAATTTATTAAAAAAATAATTTGTAATGTTTATGTAGAGTCAGAGATAACTAAACTCCACCCATGTGAATAACCCTCAGTTGCAAAATCACTGTAGGGATTTGAGGAGCCAGACTAGTTTATTTTGCATCTTCTAATGCCAGCAAACTAAACATGAACACTAAAGTGTGAAAGAAAATTCTTAAGCTGTTTTCAAATCACAGGCATATGTTTGGCTGGAAAAACATACTGAGGAACAAACACTTCAAAGGCAAATCCTTTAGAAATGGAATCACTGGCACCAGACCTACTGCCTGTTAAATTGTTTGACCAAAAAGACTGCTTCAAGAATCCTCAGTTCTTTACCCCTATAACCAAAGCTGGAATATTTGGAAGCAGTCCTGAAACCATAACTTCACTTGTGACACAATCCCTTTTCCATTACTCTGGCCAAACAGTCTAACTCTCTAAGGAACCAAGAATGAAGCAACTTCTTGCTCTTGACGTACCCCCCAAGCAAAAAGGACTTCTCAAAGGTGATTAATTGTGATACAAAGAGACTACAAAACTACTCCACAGATGCAACACTACTTCTGATAGTCATAATATTATCACTTTTAAGTTGTTATTTTCTTGTGGGCTCATTTCCAGCTCATCTTTCAGATTAGTGTGTATTTGTATGTGTGTGTGTGTATGTGTGTGTGTGTGTGTACATATACTCATATATGTTTAACAAAAGAACTTCTATTTAGGACTTAAAGTCAATAACAATTTTTAAACCACTTGATGGAAAGTTTGAGAGAATTTCTGTTTTGGATTTCTTTTGTCTTACAAATCAAGTATATATTTAATTCTCTGTGTTTACTAAATAAGAAGGCAAATAATAGAGGATGAGAATCAATTCTCTTTAAAAAAATATTTTTAGGATTTTTCATTTATCAAATCACAAATAAGCCATCCAGACAAAAACTCTTGGTTGGAATATAAATTATACATGTGAACATAAATTATAAATAGAAAAGCCATTATATACATATGCATATACATATGCATATTTCTGGGTGTTTATGTTCCTCATAAGAAGACTGTAAGAAGGGACAATTCCCATATCTCTTGGTGCCAGCAGCATTGAAATCATTTAGTAATAAATAAATAATTTTCAGAAGTTTTTCAGAACCAATCCATTTCCAAGCATTTTATGTGTATTAAGTTTACCTTTTATTCAGTTATAAATTAGGAAATTTATACCCACATACCAGGAAAAGTTCTCTGTGATGCTAATTAGTTTCACTATTATTTTCTGCACAAAAGCAAATGGCATTTTCTGTCTTATTCTCCACCAGATTGTGAGAGGCATTTTTCTCCTTCTGAAGCTCACTTGAGTATTCATTCATCTAGGCTGCTATGTTTTCTGCCCTCCTCTCTGGCAGGCCTCAGGCCTGAAGAATTTCAAGGCATCAAAAACTTTAGCAGAGACTGTCTAGGAGCCAAATAGCCTCACCCCTAGTGCTCAGAAGCCACAAATGCCTTTTACGTTGCATGCTAAAAGAGAAAACCTACTTCAAAAAAAGACAACTATTTACATAAAGCACTTCGAAAGCTCCCACTATCACCATCGTCACCTTCCAAAAACTGTCTCTTGATACTCGCTTATTGCTTAAATATATAACCCACTGTCCTGGAATCGTCATCTTCTTCCTGCTTCGATAACTCAAAAAGGGACATGATGACAGAAGCTCTTTTTGAACCCAGCTAGATAACATGAAGAGTTGATTCTGCTTTTGCCAAGAAAAATGAAAAGCAAAAGGGAATAGGTGGTTACATAAGACATTCCCAGTCCAGGCTTGCTCTGATTCTCCATTCTCAAGACTGGACTACCCTACAATGCAAAGTGATATAAACTCAACCTATTCTCATTACACACCTAGGTTATCACCCCTGGTTCATCATCAGTTCCATGCCTTGGCAATTATTTGTAAAACTGTAAGTCTCTCTGACCTTTAGTTTTCAGGATTTTTGAAACTAAAAAGCAAGTCTCAAAAGAATGAAGATAAAGACCAATTGGCAAGAGAAATGATGTCTGGCAGACATTTTCTTCAGATTAACATTCATGTCTTTTATTCTCATTTGGTAAACCTTAGAGAAGATCTCACATGCCCCCCCACCGCTTCCTTGCCCTGTTCTCTCCATCACCCTATCCCACGCCCAAGTTGGAATGAAAGTCACCCTTCTTTATGTTTCCATAACATTTTATTCAAGTAGTTATCACATTGCTTACATCATAATTGCATATATGTCTTGTTTCCCTACTGGATAGCAAGTTAGTTGAGATCAGAGAATAGGTTTTATTCTACTTTTTTTCTCTCCAGTGTGCTTTGAAATGAATGTTTGTTGAATTAAATCAAATTAAAGATAATAAAAAGTACTAGAATTAGTTGAATCCCTACTGCCTATATAGGACATTTATCATGAATAGTCTTTGAAGTTGAAAAGTGTCCATATGCAAAGCCTGTAGCAAAAATTGTGAGAGAGCGGCAAATGAACCTGGGGTACAACAGATTAGGAATGGCTTTTTTTTTTAAAGAAGGACATGGTATCATATTCAGAAGCTAAAATAAGCCTCCTATTATGCATATGAATGAGAACTTATTAAAACAGGATTGCATGGGGCCTATCTGAAGTAAATAAGCCCAACTATAAAGGAGTTTAAAGTAGTAGTTAAGAATGTGGACTCTAAACTTAAAGAGTCTCCCAATGGCCAATTTGGAGAATATTTGAGCAACAAAATAAATAATTATAGTAATAGATTATAACCCATAGAATAGAAACTCATTCAGTCTTCACTAATATAAATAATGACAGCTTGGAGCACCTGGATGGCTCAATTGGTTAAGCATCCAGCTCTTGATTTCAGCTCAGGTTGAAACCATGATCTCATGGTTCATGTGATCAAGCCCCACTTCGGGCTCTGTGCTAACAGCTCAGAGCCTGCTTGGGATTTTCTCTTTCTCTCTCTCTCCCTTTCTCTCTGCTCCTCCCCCAACTCATGCAGTCTCTCTCTCTCTCTCTCTCTCTCTCTCTCTCTCTCTCTCTCTCTCTCTCTTAAAATAAAATAAATAAATAAGCATCCAACTTCAGGTCAGGTCATGATCTCACAGTTCATGGGTTCAAGCCCCATGTTGGGCTCTCTGCTATCAGCACAGAGCCTGCTTCAGATCCTTTGTCTCCCTGTCATCTCTGCCCTTCCCCCCACTTGCACTCTCTCTCAAATAAACATTAAATAAATAAATAAATAAATAAATAAATAAATAATAACTGTCTCAAGCAAGTATAAATAAAACATTCAGGACAAAAGTATGATGAGAAGGAGGAAACTTATATTTTCTCAAAATGTCATTTGACACCAAATGAATGAGACTTCTTTAACAAATAAAACTCTACCTACCTCCAGTAAGTGGTCTTGAGGGACTGTATATATTTTATTCTTGTTCATTATATTTTTGAACTACATTTTCAAATGTCAAAGGCAAAAATGTATACTTGTAGTAGAAAACCCTGGCAGACACCACCCTAACCAAATGATAAAAGTTAATATCACCAGTGATGGAAAAATGCAAATCATGTGCCTCTGATATGATGTACTGAAGAGAATGCCACAACAGTTCTATGCATTTTAGCCAAAAAATGCAAAACCTGAATTTAATCTTGAGGAACTATCCAACAAACCCA